TCCACTCCATCGTTTGGAGCTTTTGACGCGAGAAGTATTACTACTAAACCTCCTGCCGAGAATACCTCGGTCTCGCAAAACTCGACACAAATTCCGACTCCAGTTACTTCTCCTTCGAATCTTCCAGCTCCGTTGACCCCTGGCTCAGCTCCCGTGACCCCTTGCTCAAAACTGTAGTCAACATGTCTTCTGTGCCGGGAAGTGTAGCAAAGAAGCACATAACACTAGTGTAATACTCTATGTGAATAGATTGGAGATTAATTTGTCCAGAATCATTTTTATTTTATTCAATCATGTTTACAATTATTCAGATGCTAACATTCTGCGCTTTTAATAGCAGACAATTTCAAGTAATGAGAAAGTATAAAACTCGATTTAATTAATAAAATCAGATCCGATCAGTTAGTTACCTGCTAATTTACTATGCGAGGATGCCCAATGTCAGTATTCTGCGACCATTACAGTAAAAGTCCGCTTGACACTTTGGCATTACATTTAACACGGAGGTTGTGTTCGAACGCTCCTACCAGAAACGAACCCAGTGTCGCGACCGTAACTAGGTGCAAGTTTGCTCTGCCATATATCGTGTATCACTTTTTTGAAACATGATTTCAATGAATCTCGTATTTGTTATACACGTTTTTCTGTTCTCAAAAGAAACCTCACAGTGAGAGACTTAAACCTCCTTTGCGAAGTTACAACATCTTCATCAATGCCTTTTTCAGATACTTGAGAATATTCACACTACCTCACGTCTGATGTAAAATTCATACAATTGCAGAGTGTTACATTTAATGTGTAAGGGTTTAGTACACAATTTATCGTATACTTGTCCCTTACAGTACTCGCCCAAATCGATGACGCCCTCTTCTACTACAATATGGACCACACTGAGGCTCACACACATTTATCATCTTTCAGAAAGTGCACCAAATTGACCGCTCCCCGAGCAATCACTGCGCCTGACTATACACTCTATACCCTGCACTTTACCCTGCCTGCTCTAATGAGTGCACATACTCAATAAGTCCAAAGAGTGGACATTGCTACCGATAAGGATGTTGAGGGGTTCGCTATTGAGTTCGTTTCCAGTGACTCTTCGAGTCCAGACCAAACATTGACGCCCTCTTTCGATGCAACACGACCTAGCCGTTTATTAAAGAGGAGGCGCTCACTGTTTTCAGCCTCTCCGCTGCACGAGTCACGGCCTCCACGACTTTTCCACCTGGGGGAATTTTTTTAATAACCCTCTTTTGAGCCCATAATGACGTTGAGCTTGTTT